TATTCATCGGTCGGAGTTCATTTGGAGAAGAGGCGTGTGTGTGTGTTTGTTTGTGTGTGTGTGGGGGGGGGGTTAGAGAGGAGATGAAGAAGAGGAGGAGGAGGAAGAGGGATTACGTCGAATCATTCAGATCGTAAACTCCGACAGTTATGAGGTAAGAAGGATAACTGCTAGTTACAGCGGTTTGGTTTTGTGCCAAACTCAAATCGTGTTTTGCCACATAGATATTGCTACAATTTTTTTTTCTTGAACAAAATTAATTTTAACGCATGCTGTTGACAAATAGGACCCCCGTTTTCAATCCCAGTACAGGTTATATTGCGCTGGTAGATTTCTTACACATAGTGCTGCTTCAAAGATGAACTGAAGTTTATGTCTTACTTCTATGTGTGCATTGGTAATGGCATATGGCTCAACGAGACTTCACACAAGAAAGTTCTCAAATAGAAGAAGGAATCAGTGTTCATCCAGTAAGGTTCAGTTATGGTCTTCACCACGGATGGCCTCTTCGGCGAATTCTAACCAGCAGACCTTTAAGCTACACAAAGGCTAAGCAAAGCCACAACTAGATCCAGCAAGACTAAAAGCTCTTGTTGGCAAGCCATGTAAACTTTCCTTCATGAGGTCTGAGGTATACTATATTTGGCTTGCAATGATTAAAGAGCCACTGACTGGGTATTTATGCTTGCCAAAGGATTTTATTTGTACATGACATAAGGAAAGCCTAACTACTCAGAGCTCAATTTGCTGCTCGAAATTCATTTTCTTTGTGCCCGAAAACCGTTGATCGAGAACTGGTCGGTTTGAGTCGCACACACTTTCTTCTCCGTGATTATGCGTTGTTCTCTATGGTTTAAACGCAACCACCAAATACAGTCATGCCTGGTTATTATGGACCCCGTTAATATAGATACCCCGCTATATGGACACCACTTTCGAGGACAAACTGGGAAGACGCACGCATTTTTGTCTCATTATTATGGATAACTCACACTACGGACAATCCTTTGCGGGAACGGAGGTGTCTATATTAACACGACATCACTGTAAAGCCAAAGTCCTGGGTCACCAAAGGTACACACTCCATATAAAAAATAGAAAAGAAATATGATACCCATTTTTTTGTGGCTTCTAAAAAGCCGCAAATACATTGATTAAAGAAAAAATAATTTGCAGAGCCACGTAAGTTATGCCAACTTTCTCCTCTGTATTTCTTCTTCCTCCTCAGTCCAGTTTCGAGTAGTTGCATTATTTTACTTTATTAAATATAGATATGTGATGCCGTAGCTAAATATTGATTCAGCAGTCTTTTGACACCATGAGAAATCGCCTGGAAAAAAATAAAACAACAATATTGGGGAGTGTCGTGTCCCTATAAGGTGCTCGAAGGAATTCTAATTTCTAGCAGCTTTAATTGAATGTGATTTGACCAATGTATGCTGGATACATCTCATGATATACCTAAGAGCATAGTGCGAGCAAAGAAAAGTGCACTGGTGAGATCCATGAAAGTTATTGAGAGTGAAACCTCACAGTGGAACAACTATTGAATGCTCTCCAAACCTGCTGTGGCTTTCCCAGTTTGTATTGCATTGTATTCAATAACCGTAAATGATAATCGCACGTTTGTATTTTGAACGACTGGCTATACTTTTCGTTCCAAACGGTGCACTCGAGCAAGCGAACTGAGAGCGCGATGCTTCATGGGATATCTGGCGCAAACAAAAACAGAAAAAAGAAAAGATTTCCCGCATTCGCGACGTGCCAAGGCTGGCGAGGTTATGAGCTTTGCCGTTGGTGGCGTTGTCAGCATTAAGATGGTGTCAATAGCATCAACGCGTTGCAACCGGGCCGCTCGAAGTACCCGTGGGGTGACCAGCGTGTGGCTGGCCCAAGGAGCGCGCAGCTCATACATGGGTAAATTACTTACAAAATGTAATTTAGTTACAATTACAATTAGTTGATTTCAAAAGTAGTTTAACTACAATTACAATAACTACTACATGAAAGTAATTAATTACAATTACAAATTACTCTTAAAAAGTAATGCAATTACTCTACAATTACTCATTTCTCGGAGCGACCTGATTTGGGCCATGTAACTTTAAGCGAGTTGTATATATGCAACGTACGTATTAGTTCATTCCTTGTCCCAAAGTTTGAGGAGTCTTAAGCATCGCTGCATAAATGTCACGTATTGCAATTTCTTTTTATGAATTTTGTTAAATTCACGATGGAAATGAACAGTTTGGAGCAATGAAGTACTACGTTCTTATATTTTTTTATAAATAATCATAAATTAGTTCATATACTGGAAGATGCCAGATCACTAAAGAAAAAATTGAGTTGACTGACTTTTGTTAGCCAGGCAAATAAAAATGTGACAACTAGTATATATGAATATTTTACAAGTGTTAATATAAAACTTCAATCCACACGCGCTAATACGACCGAATTCACATACGAACATCATGGTATTGTAACTTATTTACATTGAGTTGAAATTATAATGGCTCAGAAATATATCAAAACCGAATCGGGTCTCCCGAATCATTGGTGACAATATTCACAGGTGCGAGGTCAGTGTCCACAATGCTTATCCAAATAATATCCGAAGTAAAACCAACAGAAAATTAACTTGAAAATAATACAAAGATAAAAAATATGCGTCAGTGCTGTAAGAGGGGAGTCAAAGACTGGCAGAAAAGAAAGACTAATAACTTCATAGACAATTGAAATTCCCAACCTCAACTGAAAGCTGAAGCTAATACTTTTTTCAATATTTTGGCATGTTTACGCGATTGTTCTCTGCTCGCACCGCGGACGGCGCTACACGGCGCCGTTGAGGTAGGCTCCAGAGGGGATCGTCTCTCAGCCCGCAGTCTAAGCAACAAAACGACAAACAATGTGACGCTATTTACGTTGTGCGTGTGCGGGAGTGCATGTCTGTGTGTGAGTGTTTCACCGAGAGCTAGGCCGCTTGTGCGAGCGCTGAGGCTTTCAGGGAGGTTCTGTCGGCGCCACAAAATTTATGGAAAGTATTTGTAATTGTGCCTGAAATTCTGCAATTATTAACGCTAGAAAGTAATTAAATTGCAATTACAATTCCTTGAGCCGAAAGTAATTAATTACAATTACAAACTACCAAGAAAAGTAATTAAATTACAGTAATGCAATTACTTTAATTGAATTACTACCCATGTATGACGCAGCTTCCACTGCACTGTCAGCTGGGGGGTGAATGGGGTGGGAAAAGCAACTTTCGTCCAAATTTTGAGCGACGGGCTAATATTCTAGGGGGAGAATGGATGTGTTCGGGTACACAAAACGGGGGTCCGAGCAAGAGGGAGTCCCTTCTTTACGTCTTCTTGAACTGTTTTGTACAGTGCGCGATTAGTGAGTTGAGGAGGAAAGCTAAGAAGAAAAATGGTGAATTCCAAAGAGCGGCTCTGCTCCGATGGAGCTTGCTACGTCATGACTACGTAGCAAGTTCCTTAACGTTGCAAGATTACCTCCCAAATAGGCTCCACATGCATCCACCAGGTACACATTGAAATATCGTTTAATTAGCTTTAAAATTAGTTTTCTTGTGCCTTTCAATGAAAGGCTGGTATTTTTGAGGTTGTGCTGCAACATGCAACACATTAAACCTAAAAAATGAGCACTGGAATTTCGTTTCCGTACCCCTTGAAGGTATGAGACCACTGGTTAGCTCATTTGTTTTTCATTCTTGTTTTATGAGCATGTATATACATTTCTGAATGTGTTCCAAAAAAAATTGTTTCTTCCTTACGCCGGTCCGGAGATACAGCCAGGGTTGTTAGCACCCACATACCTGAGATGTATGTTATCTCAAATCTTTCTGTTGTTTTACTCGGAACTCATCTTTTTCCATCCTTTCATACGTGAACCTGCATAACGTTTTTCCTATTCAATACTTTTTACTGAAACTTTGAAGACTTATTTATCATATGTCTAGGCGTGCAATGGACTAGAATAAATGGAAATCAGGTAATAACTCTTGATACTGATGCCTATTATGGCAAAACATACCGATCTCAAAAGCGTTGTTTTTGGTTATTATTATATTAATTTTGGTTCACTGCACAGTTAATAGGTTTGTCTTCGTTGCTGCCTGAGCAATTTAACTTGCGTTGAACTAAATTAAAGTTATGACTCCTGGTGTCACGTACACATTTAGAACATTTTCTGAAAAATAAATGTCATAAAAAGTGTTTTTATGGGTGATTGGGCACATATTTCATGGGCACTGTGATTAAGATACAGAAATGTGTTTTGTAAAAAAGGCTGCGAATTTGCTGTTTGCATCTTCTCCTAAAATATTTTTTAGATCTGAGTACGTATTCATAGCTGAATATGTTCAGACGTTCCCTAGTATGTGTATAATTGTTTACTAGGTCTGTAAGCTTCCCCACTACGTCATTGCCGCTATGTTAGCGCTCCTCAGCTATCATTCGAGAGAGATGAGTGTTTCTCATGATCAATTAGGTTGACATTGTTTAGCGTTAATGTTTGTGAGTCCCCAATTTTTAATTCCCGACAGAGCGCTTCAATGTCCGTTTATTTTTGGTTTGTCGGTATTTATCACCACAAGCAAAAGCATCACGCCGCCGGGAATAACCTGAAGCTCACCACATGATTAACGACGCTGCCGTCCACTGTCTCGAGGTGGGCCTACGTTCATGGGTACTTATCTAGTGGTTCTGGAGTTGATGTTGCTGAGATCACTGAGATGCCTATTTCTGCGATGACCCCCGTCGGCATCACGGTCAATTACAGCGGGCCCGGGCCCGGCCAGGGCCCGCAGTCAAAAGCCCGAGCCCATCCCAGGCCCGCAAAAAAGCTCTTTACCCGGCGCGCGGGCCGGGCCAGGCCCGGGCTTTCGGGTAAGCCCGAGCCCGTGCCCAGTGGTCTGATCTTGAATCCGATCGTCATATTAAAATAAAGACGTCAAAATTCCTCAGTGTAATTGCCGGAAGTGCCTCAATAAGACCAGGTATAAATATTAATAGTAAATTTAATGAAGAGATAGATGCCGATAACCACCTGCCAAATTTGACTAAAAATAAACAGGAACATCCAATCTTTAGTTATAGTTGAACTAAGCGGTTGCTATGTGGATGTATTTTATGTTCGACAGCTCAGCAAAGTCGACGGACCTGGTTATACCTCCTGTACGAGACGGATCACGAAGCGGTTGCTGACTGACCAGTTGGGGCGAAAATGTTTGTGGGAAGGACGTAAGGGAAGGTTGACATTCAGAAACCTTCACCTTGCTGAGTGCATTATAAGTAAGTAATCTCTGGAAAAGTACTGCAGATCGCTTCACATGAAACCAGTTTTATGGAAGTCTTGGTGTCATGCGTCTTTTGCTTTTTTTTATGAGATGCAGTTCAGAGCTGCTGTTAATGTGAAGACTTCAAGGTAGAAACCGTAGTCACGGACTGGCTTCGCCACACACCTGCCGGACATCAGTCATCTCGAAAGGTAAGCTGGTCTTATGCTGACGTTAGCACAAAATTCGAACTTTTCTAAAACAGTAGAGTATGGTGTGCGATTTCTTTAAAGCATAATTTCTGTATGAGAGTATTTGAATGCTTTAAATACTAAAGCCAGTGACACCTCTTTTGGTCTAATTTGATAGCAAAAACTACAGGTGTGAACAGTATAGAATAATTTTAAACAGAAAAATTTTCTTTGGGGTGCTTCTCTAAGAGGAAAAATTGCATTATTATAATAGTACCTTATTATGGATTAAAAAGAATGCACAGAAAACGAATTTCAAGAACACTGTGATATTTGATGTAAATCTAACAAACAAAAGTTGGCAATACTGTACACACATCCAGCATGAATGAACTTTAAAAACAAGGCGTAAAATAATTGCGGTTTATTTAAATCAGTTACAATTCTTGCATATTTGAGTCACTTCACTTTGAACTTCACTGTTTTATTAGTTTTGCTATTTTTAACATTGAAATTTTTTCTTTGCTTTTTTAGGAACGTTCTGCACCACAGGAGAGAGATCTGAACTGCCTTGAGTGGGCCTTGAATGTACTGAGCTTTTTATTGTGTGTATCAGAAATGTTTTTAAGCAAAGTATACTGCATTGTTCAGTATGTATACTTTATTTCAAAAAGCATCATGCTATGTATGCAGCATTGTTCAAATATTATACTTTATTTAAAAAGCATCTAGCACTGCTTGTCTGTCTAACAGTAACAATAAAGATTTAGGGGCAATTTGTTTGGCACTGCGACTTTTACAGAATGGATCAGTGGATGTGCATGCCTGACAGTCTGGGCAGAAATTTAGTGCGCTGCTCACATTCAAAGTTTCGCTGCAAGACTGCAGCGTGTGGAGGTCTCAAAGGGGTACGAGGCGTCGGGATAGGAGGCCGACCGCGAAACCACCACACCGCAGGGGATCTGAGTCACCGCTACGCCGGGTTCAACTGCTGGCCGCACCCGCTAGCTGGGACTCACGAAGGGAGTACACGGACACGCAGAATAGAGGGACACCCAGGGTTTATTGGCTTCGGTTAAATACAAAGATAAAAAGACTAGTAACAACAAGGGGGAGGGTGTTCTTTACCTTGCCGCACTTTCCCGAGAGCCTGGACGGAGGTGGGGCAGCAGAGTGCGTGGCCGCACGTCCGAACAGTTTTAAGTCCCGCAGAACACTCCCTTCTCCGAGCGGCCAGAGGACACGCTCTCCCAGGCAGCACAAAAATATTGGACCAATAACGGAAAAATATCGGTCAAAGTTTTAGGAAATAACGGTCCAATAATGATTTGCACCCCGGCTCCAGATCGGTCCAATAACTTGAACCGATAACGGGGAAAGTTTTGAGACCGATATCGCCAACCGTTTTGTGACCGATGTCGTCAACCGTTTTTCGGCCGTCTTTCGAAACCGTTTTACAGCCGTCTTTCAAAATGTTTTGTGGCCGTTATCGTTGAACCATTTTGGGATTTAAATGTCTTCTTGAAATACGTAAGAATGCGAATGACGTACTACGACATCAAATGTGAAAGTCTTTATTTTCAATGGAAACGGATGCTTCATTTTAGAGGGAATCGGAGATGTCTGACCATCTTCGACTTGGACAAGGGGTATGGGAGCACTGCAAAAAAATTTCACTCAATTTTATGGGTAAACGTTCCGGGTTCCATAGTGCCGGCAAGATTTCCCGTAATCTAGAAACTGGACAGTCTGTAAAAATAAGGCACATAATTTCGTAAAATGACGGAATGTCTGTAGCTCACTACAGAGGGCTATCCGTAGGAATTATGAAAGCTGCCGGCACTAAATAATGAAGCACTATACCTTTCGGCCTTAGATAAGGCCAAAGTTACGAGCCATCCGTACCACCCGCACCTCCGATACATCAGGCGACTCCCCTGGAAGGGCTATACCTTTGCCAGGGGTGTCACCTGACGTATCGGAGGTGCAGATGGCTCGTAGCTATGGGCTTCAAGAAGACGGAAAGGTCTAGTGCTCCGTTATTTAGTGCAAACAGCTTCCATGTTCAAGCAAGCCGAAGTCACATGAAACTTTTGAGGTATGGATTGGTATGGAGAGTTCATAGGCTCTGTCATTCAATATATTAACCTGTATAATTTTTTATCCCTACACAAAACAACAAGAGTTCAACAAGAAAAAGAGCACACAACCTCTACTACTCATTGCCAGGATTTTGTTTGTGTGAGATCAGCTGTTTGTAGAGATGACAGCTGAACAAACGAACCAATTAAGAAGTTTTGCCACAATGCCTTTATTGGAAGAAGGCATGCCTTGCTTTAAGTTGGGAGAAATTTTACATTACAGTTGTCCTTGCGCTCGCCATCTAGATGCCCCTCCATGCTTGTGCTTATAGTTGTCCTTCAATTGGAGACCTCTTCGATATCTTCATGGTGCATATAAGAGCAGCCTGAAATAAAGAGCAGAAGAGGATTCGAAATCAATAGACAATCACAACAAGCTGTATATGACATACATGGTTAACATCAGCAAGCAACGTGTTTACTACCTAGCCCAGCTCCCCACCTTTCTACTGCACATGATATATAAAACAAAACTCCCATAAATTGAACCAAAGTAAAAATTTGCATTGATTTGAATACCCAAGACACCAAGTGCTTGAGAAATAAAACTCGCAAATTAAAATTTGCATAACCATTCAGTGATATTAAGCACAATCAAGTGAGCCATATCTCCTTTAGAGTATACAGTAGGCTCACGATAATTCAAACTCTGAGATTTAATACCTCTGGTTAAGTCAAACAAATTTCAAAACTTGGGCTGTCCCGCTACGTTTTCAATGTATTCATTAGCCGCTTAATTTGAACGACGTTTTCGTGTAATTCATACTTTTTGTTCTCGCGGCCCCGTTGAGCTCACTTCTTTCCGAGCACCGGTGCACTGCGGAGAAGCAGCACCTGTGAAGCTTGCTTTCACAAGCTTTGTTTTCCTGCGGTGCACTGGTGTTCAGTAAAAAGCACACTCTACAGGGCTAAAGCAGAGCAGAGCCGTACATATAGATCTTGGTATATGAAAGAAGCAAGCAGAGCCAAGGCCTGCATCAGACACAGATAGAGGGTTCGACAATCTCTCTTGGCCAACCAGAAGCTGAAAATAATCCCCTAGCTATGGTAGCGAGAAACGGTTTTGATAAGTGCATTGGAGTTAAATGTAGTAACTCTTTATGGTTGAACGTATGGTTCATGCACCGTTTCGATTATGGTTATGCAAGTAGATGTAGGAAACTAATGTTCCGCTTGATTTCTGTTTTGCTCAAATGGAGTCTGATCGCTTCGACGCCTGGTGTACGGAATACGTCAATCGTTCAGCAGGTTGCGCACGTTTTTGATATTTTCTATATCTTCCACCGTGATTTTGCATGACCACGATCAAAACATCACTGCACCCCAGTCACCGAGAGTTACTCCGACGAGCTCATTATTTTGTTTCTCACAACCACTGCCAGGATATTATGCGCGGCTGCTGGTTGGTCACATACAAATTTGTGAAAATGCTCTGGAACATGCCCAGCCCACCTTAAGCGAAAGGCGCCTCCTCATTTGCCTTCTATACATCCAAATGAATGGTTAAACTATCTCTATATACGTCTCTGAAGCAGAGGACACATGAGCGGCAAAAACGGGCGCCGCACGGCAGTTTCCATATCAATTTTCAAGGATGCTGTGATGTGGCGGCATGGCTTTATATCGCAGTGTTCATGCAAGTTGCTATAGAAATTGCAGCACAATGCCCGTTTCCATTACTCATGGGTCCCTGCTTAACAGTCCCTAATAGACAACTTTTTTCTGGTTGAACAAACTTAATCTTGTTTTAAGGTGTCATGTGCTGTCTAAACAGTCCCTGATCAACAACATTTTTGAGGGTTGAATAAACTTGTGTCATAAATTTTACCAATGTTTCATGAATGGCATGCCAGCTTATGATTAATGGGCCTGTGTAGAGGAAATCATGAAATATCTGTTTTGTATGTGTAGCCATCCATATAGAAAATCATAATTTATCTTGCAACATATTTAGATGAACTTCTGATAATTTGAGCTTTTGATAATTCATGCAAAATTCGTGGCTTCCTTGAGTTTGAAATAATGAGAGTCTACTGTATGTCACATTCAAATTAATGGTTTAGCTGCTTGGACTTAATTGTATCTGAACCTTTTCCTTTGGCAGTGCATTAAATGTAAAATAGTACAGCAATGTATAGGCTCTAGTTTGTGCACTGGCACAGGCTTGTGCAAATAAGTCAAACTAGCATTAAAGGGAGCTTGAAGCACTTTGTAAGAAATCTGAGTTAGGAGCAGACTTTTGCATTTTGGCTCGTTAATTCAGTAATCGCACTAAACTTGGGCAAAAGACATTGTAAACTGCATTTATTTTGAATATGTGCAGCAATTATAGCAGGGCATGCACTTAGCCTTTCTTCCAAATGTAACCTGTCCAAAGCTTTGTGACATCATCGTTGGCATCCCCAAGTCAGCCTATTGGCAAGCAAGGGTTGTCGGACCCTGCTAATGACGTCACTTTTGGTAGTCTTTATCTCCGTTCTTTCGCTCTGCTTTGCTCGGTGTGCCGCAATGAGGAAGGCAACGCTGACATTTTAATTAACGACTACGACGCTGCTACTAGCAAGATTAACAAAAAACTTTGACTTGACTCGGGATCTCTTTGGCTGGGTCTTTGGTGGCTCATGGACTGGGAAGCGCAGTTTGTGGATAAGCGTCCCAGCATGTCCCTACTTGGCAACATGTGCCGCTTAGCATATCCAGTTCAATTCTAGCAGCCAAACACGGTATCCTGGCAACAGCAGTTAGACCAAGGCGTAATTCAAAGGTAGTCTAGATTGTGTTTACCGTTTATAAATGTCCAGGCACGCCTGTCAATTAGCCCATCCAGAGGCTTTCGGAGATGGTCACGAGAGCCAGCAGGTTGTCTTGGGCAGCTCACTGTCAGCCACTCCGTCCCTCTGTGCACAGTGCCACCTTCATGAGCTCCCACTGAAGAAAAGAAACAATCTGAAAATTGTAATGACTGCAATGAGAACCAATCAGAACATCCCAGCAGCAGATGCTACAGCATGGTGTCTGGAATGCACCTCTGCGTTCTAGCATTCTATACCCCCCACTCATTAAGGTGGTCTCTAAGCGACAGCATTAAATGACGCAACAGTAGCCGGCATGCCCTGCTGTCGGATGAGACAACCCTGGCGGTTGGTTGTACAATTTCTGGCAAAAAATATGAACTAAAGGCAAACGTCATTGCTCTCGCAACATCCAAAATCCTGGCTGCTAAAGCTTCTGTGGACTGCCAAGCTGAGGGATATTCTCTTCCCCGCAGCAGAAACTACCTCAATAGCCATGATGTTCACAGCCTGTAAAAAAATCCCATGGAAAGTCCATTCAGGAGCAAATGGGTAGCTCTAGAGACAACCTGTCGCACTATGAAACCATTCCACAAATCTGCCATAAGCAGCACTGCCATAAGCAGCACTGCCATAAGCAGCAGCACTTCATTTAGAGTACAGAAGTTTGTGTTTTTCATACATTTCGAGATTAAATTGTATCTCTGGATTCTCCCAAGACTCTATAGTTTCCAAGCAGAGATTTACATTGGCAAGCTGGCTGAGTTCCTGAGTAGGAAGGTTTATGTGTCACACCACACGTGTCTTTTGCTGACATTCAGACAAAGAAA